CAATGCTAAAAAGTCGAGTTTCACGAACAATGTTTAATTTATTCCCTCGTTTTTTCTCCCCAACCATTGCAATTTATCTTCGAATTTGAATAATTGCACAGCTTCATTGTTTGTAACTTTTATTTTATTAAATCCTAATGTTTGATCGACCAAAATATCAAATTTTAACAAAAGTGTATTTTTTTACTTCCAAAAGAAAAATAAATCTACATGGTCGAACTGGTGATTAAATGTTAGATGAATCAAGCGGTGGCTTTAGAGAGCTGCTTGAAAATATCGGTTATTTCCTTAACCGGTGAGTCAGCCTTTAGAAAACCAATAAAAGGGCTCTCTGATGGAACGATGTCGTCTCGAAGGTCTGTTGACCGAAGCAGAGCATCAGAACCCAATGTCACTAGCCCCTTGACGATCACTGTCTTGTGTGTGCCGGAGATCATTTCCTCATAGTCCGTATCGCCACGTTCTCCGACCACCACGTACATGTTCGCCACGTTCAGCCTCCACCGCACAAACAAGTATCTGCACCGCAAAAACGAAACCGCAATACTAAGAACCAGAGTGATTCACAAAGATAAACTTTGTATTGGTAGCGTCTAAAAACCAAACCAAAAACCAAATTTCGCAAATGAACGTACCTAAGAGCTTGAGATCGAGAAGCAAGAAGAGGGACGATTTGCATTCTAGTCGAATTCCGACAATACATCGGATGGCAACGAAGGCCTCTTAGACGTAACTTCTGACGCAAGTCATCAATTCTCATCACCTGTACAAACCCTGATTAGAACGTTCTTTGGTCTTGGAACGATCTTTGATCAATTAAGAAAAGAACTTTACCTTGGAACGATCTTTGATCAAATACGCAACGCAATGCGCATTGCTCGATGGCTGATCCTCCTCGATAAGACTTGGAGAGCCCTTGTTCCTTGCTTCTCCACCAACCGCGGTTGTGTTCATCAGTTTCCACACAGTGTTCTTAAGCCCTTCATTGCCCCATCGGTAATCGATATGCGAGGCATAGTCAGGATCCGGAAGAAGCTTCCCGTCTTCCACTCCCGGGTAATATACTTCGCTTCCGCTGCTGCATATCAATGTGTCGAACTCGCTCACCTGAATCTTCGCAGACTTCAAGAATTGAGTCAATTCATCAAGCGGCATGGAAGTGGATATTGCGAAACCAGAGTTCTTAGCCATCTGAGGATCCGATCGCACTGCTTTGATGATATTCTGAATCATCGGAACCATTGATCTCTCGTCCGGCGCTCCCTCATCGTTATAGCAATCAACCGCTAAAACTACCAATCGTTCCCGTCGCCTCAGAACTGGATACTTGCTTCCCAAGTTGTCAGCCTGCTTCTTCCCCTGTACTTCGGGTTTAGTTTTAACTTCAGGTTTCCTCATCTGGCTCATGATTTGCTTAACCGGATCAGAAGCATTCGGATCAAGAGCCCCGTTAAACGACGGTTTGTCTCCATCCATAGAGAGTCTCAGTGACATGTCCTGAACGTCTTTAAGAGAGTCATTGAGTGACATTTCATCGTCTTGAGCCGCCATTTCGTCCGCATCCGTCTTCCACTGTGGATGTCTCATACGGCACGCAGCTATACGTGTCAGGTAAGTCCGGCAATGCTCTGGCCACGAAAAGAGGTGAATGTTTTTCCAACCGTTAATCCTGCACTCATTCCATAGATTCTTCTCTGATACCAGCTTCAACAACGCGTTGGCTATCGCTTCTTGATCATGTGGATCCACAAGCAAACCGTTATGCAATGCCTGAAATATAAAATCCATGAGAAACAAAGAAAGCACAAATACCAATCTAAAATAGACTTCAGTTTCGGGACACTTTGCTTACGCGATGTATATCAACTGGTCCTCCATTCTTTGTTGCCACCATTGGAAGTCCATGAGCCGCAGCCTGCAAATTTTAATTTTGGTTAAACCAGATTGGACATTACTAAGAAAGGACTATACATATAAACATCAACAAGGGGACAAGGGAGTTTACCTCAATGAGTGTAAGGCCAAAAGGTTCAACTAGAGCTGGATTGATGAAAACACCCTTTGTATTTGAAGCAAGTCGGTATATGTCAGGAACATCAGACTGTTTATGATGCTTAGGATACGCCACATATCCGTAAAGATCGTACTTGTCGATGAGTTTCAACACGGTTGTAAGAACGCTAGCGTTTCCTGATGTCATCTCATCAATATCATCTCTATTTCCCATAATCAGAGTCTGTAAAAACAGAAAAAGCACTTCAGAAACAGAGAATTCATGTTTTCTTGCCGTTTGTTTCTACCTAAATCGAAAAGTCATATTAGTAATTACGAGATTAGCTAGCTCCCGTAGAGGTCGACATTCTCCAAAGGCTTTCAAAAGAGTGGTTAAGTTCTTCTTTGGATCTGGTCTAGATAATGCCAAGATGATCGGCTTGTGAGGATTTGTGAAAAATCTCATAACCTACCAAATGCACATGATCAGCCATTTTAATGTAGACACAAACCACAAAACAAGCCTTAAAGAAGAGGAGAACTTACTTCAGACCATATAGTTGGAACCGCTTTAGGAGAAGATCCTTCGGTTCCTCCAACTAAGGAAGCTAATTCTCCATCGGCCTCAGGTGTATCTTCTTGAACCACAACGTTTGTGAAATCCATTCCAGGAGGAATGACCTGCGCAACAGACTCACTCACTCAATCTTACTTCATAATCATAATTTATCCAAGCCAGTTGGTTCTCAGTGTACTTACCGCCATTCTTGGCATGTACCTTCCATGACAATTAACATCGCGCCTAGCGCGAGCTCTCAAGACTTTCTCGAGTTTAACATCGAACCCATCATAAAGTCCCCACTGCTCATCAATCTCCTGCCTCGTGCTCGTTATAACAAGCTCTGCAGCATCCAGCGAAAGCTCTTCGGCTTCAATCCTCCTCTTAATCTTATAAGTCGAGTTTATATCCTCCTTAGATTGCCTCCCTTGTTTCAAAAGCTGTTCAAGCTTGTTTCTCCCTAGAGAATGACCAGTCAAGACCATAGGAACATTCAACGCACCAGAAAGCAGAGCGGCGCTATCCCCTGCATCCGCGTAATGCCCGTGAATCACATATGGCCACACGGGTTTCCCATTCCCAATCTGTTCTGCCAAAACTTTCGACATGTTAAGAATGTGAGCTAATGCTCCATCAACAAACTCTTGGATATAAGGCCAGAGAATCTCTTTTCTTAAGTACTTATCCCGCGGACCAAACGGTATCCTAATGATATAAGCTCCACTACTTTCTCCGGTTTCATCACCATCACAATCTTCAGCAGAAGCAGCGGTTAGCATCTCTGTTGGCTCTGCATAGCTCCAATCAACTTCTGGTGAACATATCTGGCGAGTAAACAGATCCACACGGTACACACCGGGCATTCTTGCTAAAGCTCGAGCTAGCTCCACAACATATTTCACCTGAACATTCACCAAGTAAACAAAGTTAAACCCCGACTAATCGGTTTCAAGCTTATTGAACACTTAGGAACACAATGTACCTGTCCTCCTGTATCAGAATCACTACCAAGCTCCATGTTTTCCCCACGAACCAACCCGTGCAAACTGACAAAATTTTCACGAACCCTTTAAGTAGATCTAACACATACAATCAATCAATGGAAGCAAGAGAGAAATTACCTGATAAGGACAACATAAAGACGATTCTCCTTTTTATCATCAGACCAGACTTCAACATTAGATGAATTCCGTTGTAGCCGTCTTACAGGTGTCTCCAGTTGAACAATTTCTCCAACACCGTCACCTTTCTCACCTTCTGATAAATCCTCAGACAAATCCTCTGTTGCATCTCTTCTTCCTTGTTCCCTTTCCAATCTCCTATTCGCTACTCGCTGCGAATCCTCCCACTCTAACTGTAACAAAATCAACACAAACATAAGCAAAATTGATACACACACACTGATCTACAAAATCACAATCATGCCAGGACCTGCTTCTTCTTGCGAGTGAGGTGCCAGATTCTCCAACACATGTTCTCTAATCGAGAGTTACGTTCACGAGAATTGCGAGTAGCGACCACTTTGATCCAAGTCCGGTGAAGATCGGTTTCATCGACTCCGGTAACGACTTCCTCTACGAAATACTTAGTCGGATTGAAATATTGTCCGTCTCCTTCTCTCAGATTCAGAGCTGCTTGTGGTTTCTGCTGTTGTTCTTCAATCCCGTGTGTTTGGCTATCGAGTATCGCCTCCAAATACCCATTTATCCACTCGTTACCAGCCATTCTGGGTTTTCACTCTCTCTACGTTTTCCCGAGAAAATTTCGTGTTTTTTTTTCCTGAGAAAACTACCAACGAAATCTGGCTTTACTTTCTTGGAGGGTAAGAAACTGGAAATTGGGTTAGTGTGAAAGAAACGGAGAGCTGAAAAAACGAAAAAGTGTAAGCAATCGAGAATAAAGACAAAAACAAAAGGCTGATACGGGAAAAAGTTTTCTTGGATTTTCCTGGGAAAAAAGGTGAGGCTTTTTACAGAAATGGCGGATTCAACGTGAAGAGATCGGTAGTAGCATGAACAAAGAGAAAAGTGAGAAAATTAGCGGTGGAGTGGAGCCCATCTAGATGATTAACACGTGTACGATAAAAGATGTAGTGACGTGGCAATGCAACTGAAATAGAGATAAAATCGGAGAGTTTGTTTGTGTCTCTGTCCGGTTCCTATGCGATTCTCGCTCAAAAACCTCTATCCACTTAGGGCCTTCCACCATCTATACACTAAGAAATCTCAATTTTTATAGTTTTAAAATTAGGTTAATGACAATAGTAATTAAAATTATTTGATTACGAGTACTTGGACATACAAGTCTAAACCAGATTATCGTTAATATAATTTTTACATTAGAGAATGCAAATAAATAAAAACTGACGGTGTTTGGTGTAATGCTAAATCAACAACAGTCATATAAAGCTAAATCCTAACAAAACTTTACCCTTTAAATCATTTTTCCTTCATTGATCTCCTTTTAATTGTGGCAGGAGAAGAGCCAATCTTGCTTTGTACCTCGCAATTTTCCTCAACCGTTCTTCTTTCAATCTGAAACGAACGAGGCCAGATTTAATCTATAAGAAAACCAATGGAAGTTTTTTGCTCGGTGAACGTAGTTTGGATGCTACAAGATTTAAGAGTAAAAAGAGAAATTGAGGAGAGAACTATTGTGGAACTTACCGTGCACGGACCTTCTTAGCTCGCTCGACATGTCTTTTCAAAATATCTTTCTCAGATAATTCCTTCACAGATTCCTCGTCCTGCGATCATCAAAGAAAAGAGTTCAATCAAACATCATTTAGAAACTGTTCAACAGCTGGGACTAATGTGTTCCGTTATGCTCAGAGAGAATCTATGGTTCTTGAAGAGAAAACACAAACCTCTTTGTCTTCATCAGTTGGTTCTTCAGCTGGATCCTTTGGCACACTTGCTTCCATCTTATCCACAGGTAATGGCTTTGGTAAAGGTTTCATTGTATCGCTCCTTTGCGTCTGTCAACAGAGAAACTACAAGTTAGATTAGTCCCACATTTATGATATTGCTGCTGGAGAGATTGCAACAACAAAGTATATCAAGCAAGAATCCTCTATCTAGTTTAACTAACTTGGATGCAATTAGAGAAGTAGATAAAAAAAATTTTAAGTTCCAAATTAGCTTGAATATGACAACTTAAAGTGGGCTGGTCGAAACCCCAGCAAAGCAACATCCCAAAAGTAGAAACCATGAATCCTTATGTCAAGTGGAAAAACATCTAAAACCCCGAGCTTTTTGCATCATACTTTAACAGTAGAACATAAAGTGATGCGAACCTGAATTACTTCATGAGCACCATTTCTCAACCACGATCGACCAAGTGAATAAAGAGAAGCTCCATCAGTGATTTTAACCTTGAAAAATATGATAAGTAACACAATCTAAACTTAACCACAATGTCTTTTCCAAATTGTCAAACTAGCATTCAAAAAGAAAATGAAAAACAGAGATCAGTAGTACGCTTACCTTTCTCCCTCTAACAAGGACAAGCCCCGGATCCCGTTTCCTACTAACATGGAAAGAGAAACAGCAAGGTAGCTAAGTTTCTAGAACAAATTTACTCGTATACATACTCAGTGAAAGAAAAAGAAAGATAATATCAAAGTATAGAAATTTAATGTTCACCTGGCATTTTTATTCCTGCTAGTGTCTAGAATTGAAGTTGGGGGAGGAGCAACCTAAGCACCAAAATTTACAAAAGTGAGAAAATGTGACAGGAGCAAGAGCAAGAATCAAAGTGATTATGGGATAAACTGCATATTAAGAGCAAAACAGCTTCATATTTACTCATCTCGAGCACTAACCGCTATAATCTTTCCACAAATTCCACTACTCAACTAGAAGCTAAGCACCAACAACAAATGAAACAAAGCAAGCAAAATTACAAAGAAAATCTATTTCGAACGAATTGAAACCATACCCGCGGTTGCAGGAAGGGAGGAATTCCTCTCATGGGACTCGACCCGACAGGAGAACCCGACCCGGGATGAGTAAACTGATGAATCTGAGGATTTCTCGCCCTCATCATCTGCATCATGGATTCGATTTGAGCCTGCGAAATTTGTCGAGTATTGTAAGGGAAAACCGGCCGAGGAGGATATCCACTCTGATTACCACCCGTTACAGAAGGATCAGCGACGAACGGCGAACTCATCGAGACGGGTCGAGACGAAAACCCTCGACCCGGACCCGGAGGAGCAAACGGGTACACAACCGCTGACTGGTCTTGATTAGGTCGTCGGACTGGGATTGATTGTGCGTAGTGGTTATTATGAGCTTGTTGTAACGGATTGGGATGGTGGTGAAGCGGAGCTACGGCTCTGTAAGACGGTGGCGGCGGAGCGGGAGGTGGCTGAGAAGTCAGTGTTCTGATAGTGTTTGCTGGTATCGCCGGAGTTTCGGATGCGGTGGTGAGAGACGGAGTCGCCGTTACCGTTGCGGAGGCGTTTGGATCGGAAGTCGACATTTCCGACGGCGGAAGAAATTCGACGTTAAAAAAAAAAAGGGGAAACAGTAAAAAAAAATGAAAAGTTTCAAATTTGGTTACTTTATTTATGGAGAGGCGCCGTTTAATATTTCGCGAAGCCTCTTGCTGAATCGGAGGTTTTACGGGTATTGGGCCGATCTGGGCCTGAGGGTATTAAAGTAATTATAAAGAACGAGAGAAAAAGGTAGAGAGATCGCCATTTTTTTTTATTTTGAGAGAGAGTGAAGGATAGGATTGAGAGGATGAAGTATAGATGAATGTACGATAAACCCTACTCTTCTTTCTAGCTTTCAGCTTCGATTGTATCAAAATTGGTTTTGTGAAGGTTCGTAACTTCTTCCCTCTAAATTATCTTATTTGGGTTTGAAAATTTTCCGATGTTGTTTGCTTTCTGGGTTCTAGTTCGCCGATGAGTTGAGTAGGTTTGCAATGTTCTAGCTGGTATCGAGAAATCTCTTGGGTAGGAAATGAAATGGGGCTCTGTATTTGATTGTTAACTGAAAGTATTAATTTTTTCATTTCCGATTTCTGTGTATATTCTGAGGAATTCAGGTGTTGTGAATGGCGATTAAGAAGCTTCAAAATCTGTTAGAGAATTATAATGTTATCTGTTACAGTATTATGAGTGAGGATTTTAGTGTTTTCGATACAAGTCCGTTTTAGTGAAAATGAACTGTTAGAAGTGAACAAAGCTACAAGATTTGATATAGGGATAAGCTTAACTGTTGCGAGACGAGGAAGGTGCTGGAAAATCTGTTTGTGGGTTAACTGGAATCCCTCAGGAGTTGTTTTGTTCATTTGATGAGATTTTGTTATTACAGTCTTCTGATCGAATTCGGTTTCCTGTTTTCTATTTGATGAAAGAAAATTAAATTTGTGTGATTTGATTTTCATATAGGTAGGTAGTTAGTAATGATGCTAAGTGGATGCAGCACGCCAAGTGCACATGTGCTAACGAGTTCTCGGGTATTCAATTCAGCATCATACAGAGCTGCATCAGGACGGTCTCAACATTGTCTTGCTCGAAATTCATTATCTGTCGTAAAGAACTTCGATGAGCTTCAATCAAGAGTGCCAAGAGGCATGTGAATTTCTCCTACTCATTTGGTTTCAAACACTTCTCATCTTATATTCCAGCATATGTTTTTAGATTGCTCCAGATGAATTTCATATGAAATTTTTTGATTTTGGTCATGGCCTAAAAGTAAACTAGGACAAGTGATTTTGGTATTTTAAAGCTTCTGTTTTTGTTTATCTGACTCAATCTTGCATCTTTCCTTATTTCAGGTGTGCCTCTGTCATATCTCTCAGCCTCATCTTCTCGGCTTCTGAATGGGGAGCTAGGTAGCCTGTCTGGTACATTACCCGTGTTACCTGTCCGCAGAAAAACCCTTTTGACTCCAAGAGCATCAAAGGATGTACCTTCCAGCTTCCGATTTCCTCCAATGACCAAAAAGCCACAATGGTGGTGGAGAACTTTGGCATGCCTACCTTACCTAATGCCACTGCACGAAACTTGGATGTACGCGGAAACCGCTTACCATCTCCACCCGTTTCTAGAAGATTTCGAATTCTTAACCTACCCGTTTCTAGGCGCCCTTGGGAGGTTACCGGGCTGGTTCCTATTGGCTTACTTCTTTGTAGCTTATCTTGGGATAGTGAGAAGAAAGGAGTGGCCTCATTTCTTCAGGTTCCATGTAGTGATGGGTATGCTGCTTGAAATCGCACTTCAGGTTATAGGAACCGTTAGCAAGTGGATGCCTCTCGGAGTCTATTGGGGCAAGTTTGGGATGCATTTCTGGACCGCTGTTGCTTTTGCTTACCTGTTTACCGTCCTTGAAAGCATACGGTGTGCGCTTGCTGGTATGTACGCAGACATCCCGTTCGTCTGTGATGCTGCGTATATCCAGATTCCATACGACTAAGAAGATCTTACATTAGATTTCGCTGAAACTTTGTTTTTAGATGTGTTTGGTCTTGTAACAGAGCTCGAGTTGTAACAATGTCTCTTCTCGAATGACAATTATGTTTCTACTATTTCATCACGACTCTTAGGTTTGGGCCGTATGGGTTTGATTAGAAAAAAGTATGGAGTGTAATTTCGGAAAGATTTACAAGTATGGGACTAAAATGTAATATTGAGAACATATTAATCAGAACTTAGTTTCCATAAACCCTAACGTCTCCCACCTCCAAAGCCATTACGTCGAGGACGACGGAGAAAATCGAATTCGGACAAAGATGAAAAATTCGGTCTGCGAAGAGTGTAAGCGGAATCCATGGAAGTACAAATGCCCAGGATGTTCGATTCGTTCGTGTGGTCTTACTTGTGTGAAAGCCCACAAGAAGCGAACAGGTTGTACCGGAAAAAGGAAACTCACCGACTTCGTTCCACTCTCCAAGTTCGACGATAATCTCCTCCTCTCTGGTATAATTCTCTGGCTCATATGATCTTCTGTATGTATATTTCCATGGATTATGCTTCAACAATTCGTTTGTAAAGTTTTTTTAGTAAAAGTGGAAAACTTTCTCATGGAATTGTTTTGATTGAAGGAGTTTTGTGTTTTTGCAATGTAGACTACAATATGCTTGAAGAAACAAAAAGAGTGGCTGAGTCTGCTCTGAGAATGAGAACTCAGTTATTCAAACCCATGGTCAATAGAAACCGTTTTCTTCAGTTATCTCCTGAGCTTCGGAGTCTTTGTGGTGCTGCATCTAGCCGCAGAACAAAGCTGTTGTTTCTTCCTAGCGGAATGTTGAAGAGGGAAAAGAATCAGACTAAATATGATAGCGGGTAATCGTTGTTATATTTTAAACATGAGCTTGATGATTGCTTTGTAGTTTGTATTTTTTTTTTGTTTCTCTTTGGTACTCTCGGCCATGTTGTCCTTTCCTGGACTGACAGTTTTGACCAATCTGTAAATTGCTCTTGATGGATTGTTTGCTACAGGAGCAAGTGCATCTCGTGGACAATCGAGTGGCGGTTCCACTCTCCAGATGTGGTTCTTATTGACCATGGGTTAGTTTTCTCTAGAACTCTCATGTTTGTTTTATGTTGAGACACTTAATCTTGTTCATTGCTCTGTCTTTATTTAACACTGAAACAATCCATACCAGAATTGGTGAAGATACAAACCTCTGCTCTGTGATAGCGAATCATCTTAAGCCTGGCCCTTGGATTAACAAGCTCAAGCCTTTTTGTGATGTGAATCTGAATTCTCTCAAACTTTTTATTCAAGTTCGCAAACACCCAAAGGTTTGGTTTTGGTACCACTATCGCTCCCATTTCTGTTGGTACATAGTACCAATATTATGACAAACTGCATTCTTCTTCTCGTCTTCTCTTACGCCATATTTACTTTTCTCCTGGTCACAGCGTCCAAAGGCTCTTTTCAAGGAGCTGGACATCAAAGCTCCTTTGAGGCACCAGCTTGCCAAAGTAGTTATCTTAGAGTACCCGGTGATCCATGTATATCTACCTTCACAGAGCTATGACTTTGAAGTTTTCAGAGACGACAACCATAGAAACACAACACCTAATCCTAATTGTTCCTTATACGATGGTCACGGAATTGCAAATGGTATACCCTTCCCAGAAGACAAACTAGAAGAAGACGACTCCTTTGAGCCAAAGGTTATTGATCTATTCAAACAAATGAACAATAACCCATGTCAGCGAGTCTCAGAGGGGAGCAAGGTTGAGGGTGGGGTTACCGACAATTCGCATCATCAGGCTGGTCCAACCGAACAATGGGATGCTGGTGATATGGAGCTTGAGTTTGAGCAAGAATTAGTTGACTCATTCTCAGATCTTGTTGCGGAGATGAACCCAGATGATTTCGACTTTGAATATGATTCAGATGATAACTTCAATCTCCAAAATCTAGCTACTACTGATTTCAACATCGATGGACTAGAAGAAGGGGAAATCGTAGAATAGTGGACATCCTCTTGTTCCAATCAAAAGAAGAAAATTATCTCGTGAAACATTTTTCATCAGTTTGGATTATGATCATGCCTGAAGCTCCCTGGTTAAAAGCACATTGGCTAATCATGGTATCATCTAAAGCCATCCATTTCGACTGCAGAACCGATGGCCATAATATGTCGATCTGGATTTTGATCAACAGGTATCTCTATAGGAAGCCTGATTACCAGGCTGGTCTGTGGTGTGTGCCAAACCTTGATTGTGTAAGAGAATATATCCGAAACTTTTGTTCAGTCTTATCCTCTTATTTATTACACAAAATTCTGTTTCAGACCGTTTTCATAGTAAACGTACCAAACATTTATAGTAGTATGCTTAAGATTCCAGTATATAGTTTCACTGCAAGTAGTCGCTGCAGAGAACAAGCAGGATCAACAAAAGCTAATCGATAACCCATTATTATATATAACGAGCAATTAGCAAGAGAGCATACATGAAAACATATGTATCAAAACAATTACAATGTACATACATCATATAACTTTTAAGATATTTCATGAATATTGTGTGAGGAAACAGATCAATCCACTTGGTAATCATTAAGATTCTCTTAATAATATATACATTGGACGACTCTGAATTCGAGGTCTCAAGGTCTACTCGGTTCGCAACCGGTTCAATTCAACTCAAACCACAATAGGCTTTCTTCACATAAAACCGAGATGCTCAAGGAATCGGAAAAAATATCTCATGGTTATGAAGAGTTGACCTGAGGACATTGCCACGGATATGAAGGAGTTAATGTCTGCCAAATCAGATTGTGCTTTTACTTCTCCAAGCCTCCTCCTCTGCTTGAACACCAACAAACATGTTTTACAATTGTAATGAGTATCATTATTCTTTTGATTTGACGATATTCTAAATGCATTCAAACCCGAAACTATGAGTTTTATATCGATGAGGCAAAACGCAAATGTACCTCTTAACAGTTACAGGAATATTGACATCTCCGTAGAAGGGATAAAGGGAAGAATCCTTTCACCATAGAGTTCGTGTAGCTTCACCAAAAGCCGTCCAGAATCAAGATCATCTTTCCAGATCTGCCCAAGGATTGCTTTCATGGTAATAGCCCGACCCTTGCCGCCTTCTATTGCCTTTACATTTCTGCTTTTAGATTCGTTAGCATCAGAAGCTTGTTCTGATGAAGACGGTTGAACAGAGTTTTGTGGCAGATTGTCATTTCCCATTGTATCATCTACTTGCATTGGTGCTGGACTGGTGTGCTCTTGCGATTGTAAACCATCCGGGCCATCCGTAGTTATCAATCTTTTCTGGGGTGACCGGTTTTCTGAAGAATCTATACTCAGCTTCCGCTTATCTGACATATTCATAAAAGTGAGAATAAACGTTCGATTAGAAACAATCGTTGCCATAGGCATGTGTATTTTTTAAACTACTGAGCCAAAGCAGATGTTTCTGGTTACGGCAATCTCCAAATCAAGTCCAAAGATATATTCAGTACTATTATCGGGTTTCAGTTGCAGAGCATAAGTACCAACAACCAGATTATGCAAAGAGAGGATAAATTGGTCTACGCAACTTACGTGGCTCAGTATTGATTATTTTTCCCTTTCCCTTGTGGAGGAAATTTGGTGACGGAGATGGTAAAGGTGGGAAGATTTTAAGCCGGTCATGTATACACAGGCCTGCAGCATGCTGAAAAGCCAAAAAAGCACAGGTCCCTCTTAAGGATTGTCCACTGGGAATTCTATTAAGATGAAATTTTACAAGGATGTGTACATTTGCACAAATGTACTAACCAGCAAGGCTCCATACACACGCCAAGCTTCATAGTTCTTCATCTGGTTCTTTTGCTTCTCAGCATCCAATTCTGGTTCGAGAAGCCTTAGATAYGGTTCGAGATTTGACAGAATAAGAAGGCGTACCTACACAAAAATGACATTCAGATGACAACAGCTAACAATGCAGGATTGCGGTACTTAAAGATTTTTCTGGTAACAGGGATATCTGATTCGTGGAGGAGCCGTATAAAAGTCCTAATTTCCCACATACACGAGGAGAAAAGATGGGAAATGGTGGGTGGGGGGGAACTAGGTATATCAGATGCCTGAAGAGACCATAGATAGAAGGATATACTGGGTAACATTATTTCCTTACAAAACCAGTCAAAACCTTGAAAACAGTAAAATGAGAGATGACAACGGTGATAAAATCAGGAAAGGATATTTGAAATTAGTAAGTACAAACTTTCTGAAAGGTCAAGGAATTACTTACGACATTGTGCCCCAAAGCTGCTAATCCTTGAATTGCACCATAGTGCTGAGTCAAAGCCTTCTTTGGGTCCAAAAGTGCATTGACTAAAGTTTTCGTAAGGCGAGACTGAAGAGTAATGTAAACGTTTCCATACCTGGAACATTTTATTCAAACCACAGGATTTCAAGTTAAAAGAATATTCAGATGAGATTACATAATAGAGAAGTGAGTGACAAACTGACAACAACTAACCATTCTAAACAATGAAGAAAATTATAGCAAGTTATTACTTAATGTTCTTCAATTCAGATCTACCCATTTGTTTTTCAGCTCGAGCTAAAAAAGGCCAGATGTCAATAGCAAAGAGACCAGCTAGGATAAACTTACTAGAGACCACATGTGGATAATATCATCTCGTGATATTGCATACAATTGCTCCGTATAAAATTTCATTATTAGTTCCAGTAAGAAATCATGTTCAGATTCCCAAAATTAACCAAAAACAAACACAGAGTTCATGAGATGAAAGGGACAGAATGAAGTCATGAACCTTTTACATATCAGTGCAACCAGAGTCGCCGTAAAGTCTCTTAGTTCCCAATGGTTGTCAGCAAATCTATTTCCAAGCTTTCTCGATACAAGGCATGTTACAACAGACGGCATCAACTGGTGCAACTGGCGCAGAGAGGAAAAGTTCACTTAGCTTCATGGTTATAAAACAACCAACTAATTATGCAAAGGCTGGTTTACATAAACATTATCCCAAGTGCATATGAAATTATCTCAATACAGATCAAAGGAACAATTTCTTGCTATTTGAAGCAGAGGAGAGTAGTTTACTTGCATAAATAGGACAAACACTACGGCTAACCATATTATATCCATAGTATGGAATATGTCTAAAATGTAACTTGAAAATGGAGCTACATGATTCTACAATAATTCTTAGATCGTGGCAAAAGATAATCCAGAGAAAACTTACATAAGGTTCTATGTGTATGTGAGGATTCTGTAGAAGACTTCTAACAATGTGCATTAGGTTAAACAGGAGTTGGAAGTCATTTAAACCACGTGAAACCTGCATCAGTAGAAGAAATAAAATTGTAATGTGCAAAAACTAATTGTGGGTCTTATTTCTTTTACAAGTTCCTCGAAGGTACACAAAGTTACCTCATCCGCAATGAAATTTGTAAAATATGGAACTAGAGGATGAAGTCCTGAGTCTGACGCCAAGCTCACTAATGCTTCTTTAAACAGAGCAGGATTTGACTTGCTCATTGTAAGTTCAGCAATCTTTTGGAAGTATAACTGTTAAGAGAGAACAACAGATAAGCCTTATGCATGTAAGATACGTCCCTGTGGTATTTAGCCTGCACCATATACCTGAAGTTCTCTAGATAGTACATGCTTCACTGGTAGCCTAACGTCAATAAGAGGTCCGTCCTTTTGTTCATGAATTTTGTTTTCTGCAGGTGCTCTAATAACTAAAGACAGCACAAACAAGTGAAATTTTAATCAAGTTAGGAACGAGCAAGGAAACTCTCAAATTTTCTTGCTCATGATGATGACAAAACATAGATACAGTTGGATCTGACAATAATCTCTGATTAGCATCAGTAATCTCACCAAACACAGGGTACATAAAATGTAGTTAATCACCTTTGAAACGTCATACTTATATTTTTTCACGTCAATAAATTCAGTTAATGACTTACAACTCTAATGTGTACATAAAATTGAGAGGCTAACCTTCTAAAGGAGCATTTTCTGGTATAGCTGGCTGCACTCCTTCAATAGCCAGCCAGTGACAGACAATTTCGGTATCAAGGGGAGCTTTTGGTAGTGGGGCTTCAATCACCTAGAATCATGACATTCCTTGAAATATAAGAAAAACAAAATGAAGAGCTTAACAGAAACAAATAAAATATGCCAGCCTTCCCAACATCTTACATCTTTGAATTCCACCTCTCTGTCATCAGTGTAGAACAAATCCCGATGCCCAATAGCTTTTCTAAACCGAAATGGTCCTCCTGAGGCAAAGCCATATATCGGCTGCAATAAACATGATCATTCTCAAACAGATGCCTCTGATTCAGTTAACTGCTATAGAGGAATATGTAAAAGCAATGTCTAATAGATGGTGTTCTTCATATGCACCAGAAAAGCCAAACCTCAAAACCAGAAACATACATCTTTCTTACTAAACAACTCCACCAAAGAAATATCAACAAATGTCTCGTATCATTCAAGGAAGCTATCAAACATTTTACTGACGGTCAACTACCAAAACTCTAGATAATAGAAAGGATTGGTCTCTATTTTGTACCTCGACGTTCCTTAAGTTGAGTGCACCATCTACATCCGCAGCTGTCAAAGTCGTTCTCTTTGAGTGCCGCATGCATTTGATAGCTTCCTGCAAAAAAAAAAAAATATATCCTTAACGATGATACAACATCCTTTACTCAACCTGATTTCTTCTCCCCGTTTCTCAATTACCCCGAATAATTCACCTCAAGAACACAAAGTCATGACTAGAAAAAGAAAAGTCACCTGCATAATCTCTCGAACACGATACTCAACATCAGGAGCAAGCATAAGTGCAGCCTCAGGTAACAAATTGGTAATCCCAATACTTTGTGCTATAACCTCAATCGTTTCCTTTGGTACAATGCTCATCTTCTCTTCCCTTTTTCCCAGACCCGATTATCCACGGCTCTAATTTGGAAGAAAAAACATCAAACAGTGAGTTAAAAGATCATAGGGATTCTAGGAATTTCCCAATTAAACGCAATGAATCGCAATTCAATGCTCCGTAGAGAGTGATTATCCCAAATTCGAACACAAAAGGACTCCGAATTTTGCTATGAAACAAATAACGGAGCACAAACGTACCGATTCAATTGACGACGCGACTTTGTCACAGACCACAGCTGCACGTATCGTTTCGACTCGGAAGCTAGCTCCAGAGATAATGGCGAGCTACAGTGGGAACCAGATTGCTGCTTACTGCCTTGTTGTTTTCGCGCTTTCCTTAGCGACCTAACTCGTAAACGAAGCAAGAGCAGAGGAAATTTTCCGTTTACCGTCGAAGATCCAGACACTACGAAGTCCGAATAACTGATGCGAAGCTCCGGTTTATAGAAGCAAGCAAGCAGCAAATCAGGACCGGGTCGGGTATTTCATTGAGGCTAAATTCACCCGATTGAATTATTTCAGGTTACAATTGACTTTGGGCTAACTCTAAATTCATATTGGGCCTATGTAGCCCAATAAACGACGTATGTTACTTTTCTCTGCCAACAAAAATCGAACGTTTGAAAATAAATATTAGCCTGGATCTCTCAAAGTTTTTTTTTTTTGTTTGTTAATTCTCGCTAGTTTTCCATGACTTTTGAATGTTTAGAATAGGAAATTTAACTGTTTGGTTTTGTTTTCTTTGAAATTGTAAACTAAAGGAAAATGGAAAATAGGTTTCTTCCCAAAATATTTTAAAGGTTTAGGTATGTAACATTATATAGTCACATAACTAAAATTATTCTAAAACACGAGTATAGAGAGCCATGGAAATTGAGGAAGAGGATAGGACGAAATTATCTTCATGGATTCCTCTTGATGTGACCATAGAAATATTGTTAAGACTGCCAGGGAAATACGTGGTGAGGTTTCGTTGCGTGTCGAAACTCTGGTCCTCCATTACCACAACTCCACACTTCATAAAGTCTTTCCCTATATTCACTCGTTAGCTCGACCTTCTCTTCTTTTAGTCAAGAAAGAAGAGGATAAGCGGGTTTTCTTCTCGCTCCCGCATCACCAAGATCCTCAAAGATGTTTTACTCGTGTAGAAAGTTACGAGATGATACTTCCCAAACAAGATCCCAAGTATTCTTGGTTGCAAGCTCCCAACTTGGTCAAGGGTAAAGTCTTTAGCTCCATCCGCGGCTTAATATGTTTTGGAGATCGTGACCAAGTCGTCATTTGGAATCCTACATTGAGACAACATGTCGTTTTACCCGACTCTGAACTCTCGAGGCCTTTAATAACTTTTCTTGGATATGATCCAATCGAAGATAAATACAAAGTGTTGTGTATGTCAGGTAATGATGTAGCTCTTGCAACGAGAGAAAAGCCTCGGGTTATTACATTGGGAGCTCAAGAATCATGGAGAACAACCAAACATTTCCCTCCTGGTCATCCTCGGGGGATAAACAGATGTGTCTACGGAGGGAAATGCATGAATGGGATTCTTTATTAGTATAAGGACGATTATGATACTTTAGAGAGTTTTGACGTGAGTTCTGAAGAATTCAAGCAAATACAAATGCCAAAGGATGTGTCCATCGATCCAACGTTACATGGATTGCATGTTATAACAAGCTACAACGGAAGATTAGCTTGGCTCTATTATAGTGGCTTTAGGGTTTGGGCTCTCAAAGATCCTGAGAAACAGGAATGGTCCGATGGGTGCTATTCATTTCCAGATCCTTCTAGTGTTCCTCGGATGGATGGTCCTTATCAAGACCGTTATTTAGAACTTGGTGGTATGACTGATTATGAGGAGATTATTTGCATGTATGAACCAAAGAAAATACCATTTTATACTTTTTATCATGATTTTAAGAAGAAAACTACAAGATGGGTCGCTTACGAAGGATTAAAGGCAGAGTGCAATACTAATTGTGACCGTTTTCCGAATCACGTTGAGAACCTCATGTCTCTCAAAAAACTTTTTTAGCTTAATTTTTGAAGTT